GTTCTGTTTAAATCTAAGATTTGAAAATTTAATTCAAGTTCCTTAAAGGTGTGCAGTCTACCTTAATCAAAAAACAAAAAAAAAATGTCCACCGGAAAGTCAAATATTTTAAGAAGTATTAATAATAATATGTCCTAGACAGATAAACCGTTTCCGCTCAGAATCGTTTTTCGTATACAATAATATAATATCGTTGGATTCAAATTTAATTCCATCCATTACAGTAACCCACTTGTAACCTACTGTATAGCGATATCCACTCTCCCGTTTTTTTTTTTATATAAACACATCAGTAATCGTAGGTTCTTGGATGTTTTTAGTATTTTTACCATTTCATATATTATTTTCTGTAAGTAGGCATATATTTAGATTAAATTTAACCTATCTATACTACTAACTTATGTACTTACACCGTTTTCACTACGGTACGTACAGTATTTGTTTATAGATTTTACCTTAAACGGCGATTAAAAACAAACTATAAGATAATAATACATCAGTTTGTGTGATAACAGATAGGAAAATTAGAAAATAATTAAATAAGTAAAGATTTATTACGTTGTAATTACAACTAGTAATACTAAGCGATATATGCGATTCTGTTGGGAACAAAATATTGTTACGGTAAAATAATACTTACAAATTGCAATATATGTGACATAATATTAAAGTAAATATCATGCAACATAATATATGTGTTATTTACGGCAAAAATTAATACAACTATTATTTATAATTATAATCAATAGTATTATACTAATTTAAAAATAAATATTATTCTATTCAAATTTAATACGTGCATTACAGTGATATACAGTGCATATCACTAGATCAGTGGTGTTACCTTGGCCCCACAAGGGGTGCTGTTGGATCTAGAGTACTGTGGTCATTTAAATGCATTTTTAACTATTAAAATTTTGATAGGAATACTTATTTTATATTAACTAATATTTTATTATTGACAACCACTATAATAATCATAATTCTGGTTTTATATTGTTGTTTAATTAAATTCTGGAAATTATTTAAGTATAAATGACCGAATTTAGTATGTTTTTTCCACCCATATATATAGTGTGATTCAATTTCAGTAATAATAAAATATCTTACAACATTTTTTCAAATCGCATTCTAATATTGATGTTTAAAAAAAAAAAATGTAATTTAAATATTCAAACTCATGTACATAAACAAATAAACGTTTCAAAAAAATATAAATTAATATGATAAATACCTTTTCAAAGCCGTTTAATTTATGCATCAGTGGCATTAGCAGGTTTTAGTTTTGTTACTAAAAAGTAACAATATTACCCGTATGGAATTTATGAAAACAATAACTATAGCTATTACCTGACACCTGACACATTTCTATGCATATATGTATATATCTATAGCAAATAGCGAGTACAAAAATCAAACCTTTTTTCACTTTACCGGAAACCAATATTTTTATTTTGACGGAAAGGAATAACTTCCAATAATTTTACTCATAATCTAAACCTATAACTTCCTATAACTGTCTCCACACATATATAAATATATGTATTTTGTTTTCATATTACAGTATTTTTAAATACATAAATTAAAAAATGTCAAATTGCTTTATCTAAAATTGAGAAATACAGTTATTATAAATATTATATTATTACTAGAGGTCGGATTTTTATGATCTTACATATTTGTTTCTAGTCTATGCAGTTAAATGGGAGTGAGAAATCTTTACGATTCATGAAACACAGAATAAATTCACAGTAAAAAATTTATTTTGCATAAAAAAGCATATTTTATGGGTTAGAGAATATTTGAGAATATTTTAGTAATATCGGCATATAATGAATATATTTCACGTTTATCAGCACTTTGATAGGTATAATAATGTTCACCAAATAATTCTGTTTATAAATAATRAATTTCTGGGTTTTAATAAAAATTAATCGTAGGTTATTTTGTTAGCCAAAATAAATTTAAACTGAATTTTTTTTAATATTAAAAGAATATTTTGCATATTTAAGGACATAAAACATCATATATCTRGTATTKTAAAAGAATATTAAGAGAATATATTGCCTAATTTATGCGACATAAAAACATCATATTTTAAGGATTTTAAGAGATTATAAATCCGACCTCTAATTATTACTAATAATATAATAATTTATTAGGTACATACATATTTGTCAATTTTCCATCGGGAAGGTTAGGTTAGGTTAACCTAATTTAGACATAGGTTAGATTAGGTTAACCTAACCTAATCTAACCTATGTCTAAATTTGGTCGGAGATTTCTGGACTACGAGTTACGAGCAACTCATCAATCTTTTGGGTCTTACCTATACCTTGATCGATGTCAGAAACACACGCAGGGTTGTCTATTTGCCACTATTTTCGTTAGCAATAAAACATAAAATTAAAGTGATGATTTTATGATGTTTCATAAGTTGAAAGAAGTGGAATTGGCTTACGCACACTATTGAATCCGAGCTACAAATGTTTATGATATATAAAGGCATCATACAGATCAAAATCTTAGCAGTTAAAAAAAATCGAAAAGCGTTTTGAAAATTGCTTATAGATTGAATCATAAATCATATTCAAGCAAGATCTTATAAATATTAGTATATTTCGAAAACTTGCGCAGTCTATAAATATGACAATATTGTAATTGTCATTATTCATCAGACGTCTCGATTTTCAAACCGGAGTTTTACGAAATTGTGCGATCAAATAGGGACTGTAAAATTGTAAATGTACCTATACTAAACGTTCAACTTTTGTCACGATGTTTAACAAATCGACAGAATTTTTTTACTGTAGACCTATATATTTTAAAATATTTATTCAGCTGTATAGTTTTTAATTAATGGCGTACCTATTAATATTATTAGGTATTGTTGTAAAATAAAAACAATACATTTTATTTACTCACATAGACTTCTTTGGTAAAATAAACAGATTAATTAAACCCTAGGCGTCAACCAATAAAATTTTATCCTAGTTCAGTGGTTCCCAACCGCGGTGGATTCCCCCTAGGGGGGAATTTAGTGATGATGAAATAACAAGAAATATTTTATTTATAAAATTGAAAACAATAAATTAGCTTTTTTTTTTTAATAATGATATTTACAATCTGTGTTTAACATCACAATAAGTAAATTGGACAATTTATGTACATGTTTAACTGGAATGATATGAAGAGGGAGGCCAACCAGAGATGGAACCCAACGTGAAATAAATTAGCTATGCAAGTAATGTAATATTAAAAGGTACAACATTATATTATATAATAATCTAATCTAATATTGATTCGTTGACTATTTGTCGGCCTCTGATAACGATAATGGATAAAAAAATGTATGTCGTTAATTATATTAAAAAAATAATTATTTCGTATGATTAAAACAAAAAAGGCATTTTTAATTATGATTTACTGTTCTCTTTGCTATAATTATTTTATAATAAAAAGCAAATTAAAAAAAAATTCTAATTTAAGGGGGGGGGAGAGATTTTTGAAAATTTACCAGGAATGCGTATAATAAAAATAAAGGTTGGAAACCACTGTCTTAATTTTACGGATTTTTGTTTTTTCACTTAAGAGCAGACATATCCAATGACACGACAACGCTCTTAAATCCAATACATATCTATAAATATTTAATACTATTTATTTTTATTTTTTATTAAAAATTGCTAAATGAATGTTTTTTTTTAAATACCTACCAGCTACTTTGTAAATTGTTTTATTTTGAAGATTTTTCTTTTATATTGTTATGATTAATTTTGTATGAAATATTTTTTTTAATTATTAATTTTATATTGAAATACAATTCAAAAACAATCACATTTTTTTATTTAACACGTAGATACAAAATCTGCTTTAGTATTGACCTTGAATTTAGGATATACCGATGATATAAATATTTCGCATTTGTAATCTGATTGAGTACGTAAAAAATGTTTTAATATTGTTTAAAACAAAAATTACCTATTTCATTCGTTAGTTTTTTCTGTTACTCCTGTATGGGCTCAAAGCTCAATACACAATTTATAAAATGTCCAAAAATAGGGAACTAAAGACTCGCATCATCACAAAATCTGCGCCTGCAAATTTTGGTCATTTTTGACGCACGATGCTTAAAACTGATTATTTTGGTAATCCGCTGGTTATCAATCTATTGAAAAGTGTTCAAATTTCTATAATATTTATGTCAAATATATAGTAAACAATATTGTATAGGTACTCACGTGAATATATCATGGTGGTTTATTCTTTTATCGAATCCATTTATATGGCGTTGTTTCCAAGTTATTTGCTAAAACAAATGACTAACTATAATAAGCAACAATATTGATTTTTCGTATTAGTTAAACTATAAAAATACATTTTTGATATGAAGCATAAATTGTGGTATTAAATTCGAAAATTAAACATTAGGTACTTATATAGGTATCACTATAGTTATAGTTCGTCGATTCACCACAGTACAGTAGTTATATATTATTATAAGTATAGACAATTCATAACAAAAATTTAGTTTTTAAATTTGCAGTAAAAAAATATTTAATTTTATTGAATCATGGAAAATATATTTCATGAATTATGTTGATTTTAAAATTTTGATCTGAGTATGAATTATTAAATGTACAAAAAAAATGTGATATTAATTAACACAGTTAAGCGTGTATTGTAATTTGCAGGTTAAACTCAAACGCTATATTGTGCCAATAACGGTCGTTGCTTAATATTTTGGTAGTACTTGGGTTTAAATGATTTGCGAAATTGCAATTTCAGTGTTATCATTTACCACGTTTAAATAAATCTATTTTATTTTCGTTACGATATAAGCAAATGTGTAGATACAAAATTATTGTTTATTATATTATATAGTAGGTAATCAGGAAAAAAAGTCTTAGTAACAGATAAATAAAATATTGTATTATTCTACAGACATTGCTTTCAAACGGCATATTATATCTGTAACGGCAATTTTTGTGTTTTTTCAGTAATCATCATGAGTGTAATAATTAGATTGCAAAATTTGCCTTGGGCGGCCAACGCCGCGGATATCAGACAGTATTTCCAAGGATTGTCGATACCCGAAGGTGGAGTTCATATCGTCGGCGGTGAAAAGGGCGATGTTTTCATCTCGTTCAGGTAAACTTTCGTATGATCGATCGTGTCAATGACGCACAGTGATGCGAATCGTCATTATTAGCTGCGTTAGGCTTTATCGCGTTGTACCTATATTCTAATAATAATTGTCGTTTCGAACATTTTACAGTACCGACGAAGACGCTAGACAGGCCATGCTTTCGGACGGCGGGTGCATCAAAGACGTGCAGATCAGACTGCTGTTGAGCTCGCGTAACGAAATGCAAAAGGTCATCGATGCCGCGCGACAACAAACCTTATACAACGCCTACATGCAGCAAAATCTGATGCAGCAGCCACAAATCCCCATAGTCGGGTCGTTGCCACCGTTGACTGCCAAGGTATATAATAATTGCGTACATTCGCATCCGAATGACGACAATGACAACCCAGCTGTACGACGACGAATTAAACATTGCTCTTTCGAGCAAGTGCTAATAATGTCGATGTTTTTTTTTTCTGTCACATATTTATATAGGTGTTACCACAGCCACAACAACAGGCGAGACAGGGTGCACAGATGTTACACAGGCCGCCAACTTTAATCGACAACATGTCGGTTCTTATGCCCCAAGACAAACAGCAACTGCAGATGCAGCAACAGGTTTTGTCTCCGAAATCGTTGCAGGAGAGCAGAGATCGCGACGACAAGAGTCACAAACGTAGTGACCGGTCTCGATCGAAATCCCGGGACCGGCGTTCAAAGTCGTCTCGCAGTGGAGGCAGTAGACGGGACAGGTCGAGGTCTAGAGACCGGCGGCGGCGGGACAGGAGCCGAGGAAGGGACAGGTCCAGGGACAGGTATCGCGGCGGAGATGGCAGGAGCTCGTCGAGCCGGGGTAGTGGAGGCAAATCGCAAAGGTCGCGGTCGCCGATCGTCAACAGAGCGACAGACGGTGCGCTGCCGGCCGCACAACAATCTCAAATCAACCCGTGGAACTGTCAATATGACAACTTGCAGCAACAGCAGCCGGTGACAGAAAACCATCAGCCTGCAGCCACGATGATGAACAATAACGTAATGCCCGGCGGGTTCGGGCAATTCAGGACTCCTCCCCAGCCGCCCATCATCCCCGTCATTCTTCCTCAGAATTCCTCTTTCCGTCATCAACAACAACAGCAACAACAGCAACAGCAACAACAACAGCAGCAGCAACAACAACAACAACCGCCGCCGCCGTTGATGAATAACGTATGGACGCCGAGTGGCGGAAACCGTTCGAATCAGCAACAACCGCCGTACGTTCCCGACAATGATTTTCGCGCAAGCGTATACGGCGGCGGTGGTAGCGATGACGAGGACGATCGACAAACAGAGTTTGACAACAACAATTTCCACGGAAAGTACAATGAAAACTCCGCCCCGGGTATGAGGAGAGGGCCGCCCGGACAGGATTTCCGCGAGCAACGAGGGTTCGGGTCGAACCGGGGAGGTCCGAGATTTCACAAACCGCAACAGATCGTTCCGCCTGTCGTGGGTCAGCACAATCGCGGCGGCGGCGGCGGCGGGGGAGGTCAGCGACCGTTCGACGAGTTCGGTAACGGCGGCGGGCACAGGTTCAACAATCAGCAGCAGCCGCAACAACAGCCGCCTAGGTACGGCGGCCACAACGTGCCCGACGGAGGCGGCCGAGGCAGACCGTCCAGGTTCTCCTCGATCAACGAAAACGGCAAACCGTCCAGATTCAATCAAGTATCACCACTACAGCAGCCACACCGGCCGGACAATGACGAAGGGCGGTCGGCCGAATTCGACGATTCCTGCAAAAGGATGCCGCCCCGGTACAACGACCGGTACAGGTACGACGTACGGAACGCGCAGGTACCTCACGCCGAAGGACTGTGCGTGGAGGTCAACAACATGTCCAACCCGTTCTCGTATGGCGACATCCGCAAACTGTTCGAAGGCATACACATCGACGGGTCGGCGATCAAGATCCAAAAGCACCGGCAGGGCGTGGCGTTCGTCCGGTTCGACAGCAACAACAACAAGAATTTGGCGTTAAAGGTCAACGGCACCGCATACAAGGGCAACCATGTGGTGGTCAAACACTTGGACGACGAGGCGTACGAGCGGGACAACACGGACGATCGGCCGTATCCGAATGCGACGGCGGCGCCCGTGCCGAACATCGTTGATCACGTGGACTTGGTGGACGACGAGGACGACGACGAAGGCGCGGCAAGGGACCACCAGTCGGACAAGAAGAAATCCAACAAGCCTAAAACCGACGACGACGACGACGACGAAGGAAGCGACAACGACAACGAGCTGGTGGTGTGCGAGAAAATCGCGAACAAGGACGGGGCGTCGGTCGAAGGCGGCAGCGACGAACAGCCGCGGAAGGATCCGCCCACCAAATATCTGAAACTCAAACAGCTTCCGGTCACGGTTACCGAGGAGGACGTGATGAACGAGTTCGACGGCGGCACCGACGTGCGCCGCGTGATTTTCTACCCGGACGGCGAGTTCATGGGCGCCGCGCTCGAGTTCACTAGCACTGAAGCGGCCGAATCGGCGCTCAAGCGGTACGACTGCGTCTTGTTGGGCTCGACGCCGGTGCCCGTGTTGCGGTGCACCTACAAAGAGTATTCACAGATCAAGCGCAAATCGGACGGCGACGACAGGCGGTTTTCGGGCGGCGACAACAGCAACAGCGGCGGCGGCGGCAGCCGTCATCACCACCACAGCGGCGGCCACCACCACCACCACCACCACAGCGGTAGTGGCAATCACCACCAACATTCGCCGGTTCCGGTGGCGCCGCCGCCTCCAAACGTGTCTGGCGGGCCGCCCGTCACCCGCTCCAACTGTCTATACGTGTACGGCCTGCCGACGAACGTCACCAACACGGACATCACTCAGTTCTTCTCGGGCGCGGCACTGCCCGACAAGATACACATCATGCTCAGCAAGTACGGCCGTCCGACCGGCGAGTCGTACTGCGAGTTCGGCAACGCGCAACAGGCCAACGCGGCGCTCGCCAAGAACCAGTGCTACATGGGCCAGAACGTCGTGTGCATCGAGCCCATCAACCGGTCGCTCATGATCCAGGCCATCACCAAGCCGATGCAGCAGCTCTGCAACAACCAGGACATGTCGTGGGGCGGTGCGCCGTCCAGGCACCAACGACCGCCGCAGTCTCAGCAGTACGGCGGCGGCCCGTACGGCGGTCGGCCGCAACAGCAACAGTTCAACATGAACAACGGCGGCGGCCGCGGCGGCGGCGGTTACACGCCCAGGATACGCGGTCCCGGACCCGGCCCGAACACCGGTCCCGACGGTTTCGGACAGCCAGGATGCGTGGTGGCCCTGGACAACGTGCCGTACCGGGCCGACGTGCAGCAGATCGTGGATTTCTTCGAAGGATTCGAACTGCACAGCCAGAACGTGATCCGGCGGTTCAACGATTTCGGCAAGCCGACCGGCGAGGCGCGCGTCAACCTCAGGAACCCGCAGGACGCCGCCCGGGCTGTCCGGGCGCTGCAGAACAAGCCGATTTTCAACAGGCCTGTCCGACTGACGCTCCTGTAAAAACGTGTCGTCGTCGCAGTCGTCACTTTTGCCGCGTCCGGTCCTCCTCGTCCGCGCGTGACAATAATTTTACCTATATATAATAATGATGACCATAAACAATATCTATTGCAACAGTAGTTAATGACGTATTTTCCGGGTCAACCGATTTCACCCATTCTATACACGTTGATAGATATATATATATTTATATTTATTTATTTTTTTGAATGAAAGTCAAAAATAGGAAACATATAGTATGTACTATAAAATGTTTGTATCGATTTTACTTTTGTTTCGTTTTGCTCTTTTTACACGGTCTTGACATTAAATTATAACGGCTTCTTGTATAATGTTTAATACACGAACTCGACGCATGATTTGTATCTAATTTAACAATATATAAATGACCTATAATATGCGCTTGTTTGTTGTATAAATACACAAAAAAATAAATATGTACCAATAATTAAAATATATTTTTATTCCAACTAAACTGTATATTATTATGTAGTGAAGAAACTACGTTTTTAAGTAACAATTTATAATAAATATTGTAATATACCTATTATTTTTTATTATTAGATAATATATTTTGTAAGAATTCAGTAAATTTTGAATTGAGCGTTTTTATTTACCTTTTCCCTCATATGATATAAGCCTATGATAAAAGATAAAGGTTATCTATCAATTTGCCTCCGAAGACCTTTACTGCCATCATAAACGTTAATACGTCCTCGGTCCTTCATTCGTCCTGAAACTGTAAATCTGCGAATATGATTTTATTTTGTCTAAAAATGTATGTGGACAAGCAGTGGCGTAAATTGGCCTCAATTTCTGGTGGTGCAAAGAAATATTTTACTTTCGGTACCTAACCACCAATACTCTAAATTCCTTTAGAAATTCGTGCCATGAAATTGTTTACCTATCTATAGTAATCTAGTGTCCTAATTGTACTCAGAAATTAGTGTAACAAATATAAGGAAATATTGTTATTTTTCAAGTACTGTTTTTGAAAAGAAAAAATTTAGAAATTGTATTTAATTCGTGTAATGTTTAATTAATTAATATACATACATCATATTTGCTATAACTGTGTGAAAATCTTCAATATGTATATTATTTAACACTAAACAAGATAATAAGGTACCTACCAAGGAAAATATGATTTTTTAGTTGCTGGCAAAGTGATGGTGTAGGTATTTAAATAATAGTGTTTGTGATTTAATTTTGAATATCTAGTTAACTTCTTGTTATTATAATTATAATTGAATAAACTATCTTAGATTCCTAGATACTATCTTAAGTAGATAGTGCCAATAGTACCACGAATTATGATATATATCTTAATTCGTGAATAGTAATATAAAAATAAATGAAACACGCAGATAATAATTTAACTACAACAGATTTATTATACCGGGTGATTTTTTTTTATCATTGAACTCTCATTATTTCAAAAATTATTAATGTTTTTGAAAATATTTTTTTACATAGTTTCARGTTGTTAAAAAACGAACGTTTTTATTAAAAAATTATATTTTTAAATATTTTTTATCCTTATCATTTTTTAAGTWTTTTACTTTTTTGAATTACAACATAGAGTTTTAATTTCATATTCCAAAGCGGAATATTTTTCAAGTGTTTTGATTCATAAAAATCGAATTTAGGACGAGTAGTTAATCAGTTATAAGCATTTAAAGTTTAGACAAGCGAAACAACTTATTGAAACAATGTAAAAAAAACAATAATAATTTTTGAAATAATGAGTGTTCAATGATAAAAAAATCACTCGGTATAAGTTTCAAGCGTGTATTTATCAGACAAATCTACGGTTATTATTTTTTTTTTTAATTTGATCTTGAAGACTTGAAATGCTTATAAAAAAAATGTGACTGCATATATTTTAAATATTTTTCATCTGCCTTTGTAACAATATATTAGGAGCTTTCTATTAAATTGTCAATCTTTTTTACCCAAAAAATAAAATATTATTGACATTCATACAAAAAAAACTAAACAAATTGGAAACTGGAAATGTCCGCCCACCCAATTTACGCCACTGTGGACAAGTGACGTAACATATTTAGCGATTTGGTTCGATCGAGAATTTTCCCGACGGCCGATGGACTCTCTACACATAATTATTGAGTTCTCGACGACTGTTTTCCGATCGAAAATTACACCCAGTGAAAGGGGCAAGGGAAAAACGACCAGTGTGGCAGTGTCGATGACCTAATAAGATAACTCAAGATAAGTTCTTACTTGGTGGTACGGTTTTTTTTCCAGAAATATTAATAAAATACATCTACCTATACAGTACTTGTGCCAAAAGTGGTACGTTTGTCAAATTTCAATGGCACGCCAAAAATTTAAATTGAGAAAAATTATGCTATTTTTAAAATGTTGCTTGTAAAAAATTCAAATAAATAAATTCATTTTAAAAGTCATAATTTCCTATTCCTATATGTAAAATTGATTATGTTGCTAAATATTATCACTATATTTTGCATGTTCTATTTAGTGTTTACAAACTTTGGGCATCACGTGAAAAATTGTTGAACCCTTGATCGGAAAACTCTGGCACTAAATCAAAAAAAAGTTCGCCACCCTTGATCTATGCAAAAATACAACACAATAAAATACAACACCTATCTAGAAATTAGAATCTAGATACATTTATGATCACGTCGATATTTAATGGTTTTGCACGCAATGTTTGATTTTAGGTATTCTAAAATAACATGGCACCAAATAAAACAGTTTTTGTGTGTTGGCTATCGGTGGATTCCTGACTTAACCATCCCACGTGTATAAGTAACCATTAATTGCTTCAAGTCTTTATCGTTAGGTATGAAAATATTATGGGCATAGGCTAGGTCTGGCTGGGACACCACAGGGGCGTCATTTGAGGGGGTGGCAGGGTGTGCGGTTGCACCCCTTACTTTTAGAATGTTACAATTGGCCTGCGCCTTGCTGAAGCCTAAAATAATGCACGAGCCACGAATGCACAATTATATTTTATATGCTTAAAATCAAATTGTAATAACCGGTCTTTAATGCATGGAAATAATTTGAATGCAGGATAATATACACATATACGTATGTATATTTATTTATATACGGCCTGGTGAAATTTCAAAATGGCCTGCTTGAAACTTCGCACACCGAAAAAAACCTGCAATGATGCCCCTGGGACACCAGTCAAAATAAAAAGGTATAATTTGTATTATAATTAACAAAATAACTATACTAAGTACCTACATATCCGTCGTAATATAATATTGGCTTTATACGGTGAATTGGAAAATGAATATGTTATATACGATTATACGTATACTTATCATAATATCAAAATCTACAACTGTAAAAATAATAACAATACGCAACATATATTGTATATAGTCTCAACAATTTTATTTCTTTTATAAGATTCGCATTACACGTTTGACCAATGTAAAACGTTCTTACGAATAAAATGAGAAGATCAACAAACGTCGACAAGTACCGACGAACTGTGCGTCATAGGCGCAACTAGGGGAGTGCTTGGGGGTGGTTAGGTTAGGTCAAAAACATCAAAAATGGAAAAATTATATGAAAAAGTTTTTTTTTGTTTTACGTAAGGTTGTTTAAATATTGAAAGATATGTTGTTAATAAAATTACTTCTTCAGAAATATTGGAATTATATTACAATTCCACTAATAAAAGAAAAATAGTATTAGTGTAAAATAGTGTATTGTATATTATGTATAATATTGAGGTCCATTTCAATGGCCCCCCCACTTTAAAAATTTGAACTTCTGATCTAGCCAATCGTTTGTGCA